ATGTTTAAATAATTTTTAATGCGGTGTGGAAGCAAGACAGAAGCATTCTTTAAAAATTATATATATTCTTCAGGCGCGGGTTGGGTGCCTTTTTCCGCCGCGCGCCACCGGAATGCCCCTGTCTTGCGGTCTAATGGCGGACACCAGTATGTTGGAGTTAGTGGTGGCTTAAGTTTTGAAGGGAGGTAGCATCCGTCGGATATCCACACCATCCTTCTCGCTGCAGGGTAAAAAAACAGCCTGGAGACTTCCCCGGGCTCGGGGAGGCGGAGAGCGGCGATATGGAAGGGGGGCCCGAGACTTTGGCGGGGGTCACGGGCAGTCTAGGCCCGAGAGGTCCGAGGTTGGGGACCAGGAGGAGGTGCAGAGGGATGGTTGGGGCGCGAAAACGGCTTCCTGCAATCATCTGTCGCTTCCATCCACAGGGTGGGAACATGTCCTAGTTCAAAATAGGGCTCGTGGAGATTGCTTTTAACGTCTGGGGTCTCTGATACGGGGGAGATGTGACAAGCAGCGGGAGGCATGGATGTCTCCCTCTGGGTAAATGGTACACCGATGGGAAGATGGAATGATGGAGCGTGTTAAAAGCGTAAATAACGGAAACAGTCTTCAGAGCCAAGACTCCAGTTTGAATTTGTATTTTGGTAGTTGGGCAACTTGTCTCCTCCCCTGAGCCCCTATTTTCTCATTTGCAAAATGGAGGATAGAGTTTAAATGCGATGATGTTTCCTTAGAGGACAGAGAAGATGCAGTGAGCAGTCATACAAGCTTTTTGTAATAATGGTAAACAGACGTGGGGGAAGTTTTTTGTTTTGTTTTGTTTTTGAGACGGAGTCTTGCTCTGTCCCCCGGACTGGAGTGCAGTGGCGCGATCTCGGCTTACTGCATCTCTGCCTCCCGGGTTCCAGCGATTCTCCTGCCTCAGCCTCCCGAGTAGACTACCTGGGATTACAGGCGCGTGCCACCACGCCTGGCTGATTTTTGTATTTTTAATAGAGACGGGGTTTCACCATGGTGGCCAGGCTGGTCTCGAACTCCTGACCTCAGGCGATCCAGCCACCTCGGCCTCCCAAAGTGCTGGGATTACAGGCGTGAGCCACCGCCCCCAGCCCAGACGTGGGGGAGTTTTAAAGCTTACCAAATTTATCTGGTGTATGTTTTTTGTTTGTTTGCTTTGTTTTTGAGACGAAGTTTCGCTGTCGCCCAGGCTGGAGTGCAGTGGGGTGATCTCGGCTTATTGCAGCCTCCGCCTCCCGGGTTCTAGCTGTTCTCGCGCCTCTCAGCCTCCCCAGTAGCTGGGATTAAAGTCGTGTGTCACCACGCCCGGCTAGTTTTTGCATTTTTAGTAGAGGGGTTTTCACCGTGTTGGCCAGGTTGGTCTTGAACTCCTGACCTCATGACCCACCTGCCTCGGCCTCCCAAAGTGCTGGGATTACAGGTGTGAACCACTGCGCCTGACTGTACGTTGTTTCATGTTTTGAAATGGACTCTTACTCTATTGCCCAGGCTGGAGTGCAGTGGCATGATCTCGGCTCACCACAACCTCCGCCTGCTGGGTTCAAGTGATTCTCCTGCTGCAGCCTCCTGAGTAGCTGGGGCTACAGGCACACAGCGTCATGCCCAGCTAATTTTTGTATTTTTAGTAGAGACGGGGGTTTCACTATGTTGGCTAGTCTGGTCTCGAACTCCTGACCTCGTGAGCCACCGTGCCCGGCCACATATGTTGTTTCTTTTTTTTTTTTTTTTTTTTTTTTGAGACGGAGTCTCGCGCTGTCGCCGGGGCTGGAGTGCAGTGGCCAGATCTCAGCTCACTGCAAGCTCCGCCTCCCGGGTTTGCGCCATTCTCCTGCCTCAGCCTCCGGAGTAGCTGGGACTACAGGCGCCCGCCACCTCGCCCGGCTAGTTTTTTGTATTTTTTTTTAGTAGAGACGGGGTTTCACCGTGTTAGCCAGGATGGTCTCGATCTCCTGACCTCATGATCCGCCCGTCTCGGCCTCCCAAAGTGCTGGGATTACAGGCTTGAGCCACCGCGCCCGGCCCATGTTGTTTCTTAATAGGGCTTGCTCTACTGGTTCTGCTGTCTTCATCCAGAATTTCCCATACAGAAATGTCTGTTGAAGTAATAGTCTCCCAGCTATTTTTCTGTTTTCTATTTCCTTAGCTTTCTTGGACTCGGTACTGTTGGTGTAACCAAGGCCTGGAGGTCTGGGTGACTCAGATTTCCTGCAACCATGTTTCTGTACAACTTAACCTTGCAGAGAGCCACTGGCATCAGCTTTGCCATTCATGGCAACTTTTCTGGTAAGTTCTCTCGTTACCATCTTTTGAAATTTTAAGTGAATTAATACATACCTTGTTTAGTCTCTTGGGCAGGAAATGTTTTCCATTTATGACAAAGCAGTTGGTAAATGTAAACAATTCAGATTATGAGATGAGGTGTTAAGTTCTGGTGCATTATTTGTTACCTATTTCAGATGCATTTCCTAGCTCACGTTGTGCAATGATTCTTGTCAGGGCACACAATTCTTGCCTGCTTATTGCAGTGAGACATACTGAGATGTGTAAGACCTGGTCCTTGATTTTGAATTTGACATCAGGTTGGGTAGAAAGAATGTCTGAAGGTGTTTGTCAGGTTATCAGAGAGTAATTTAAATAAAGGGAAGGTTGGACCTTGGTTTGGTGTTTGAAGAGATAGAACTTTTGTATGAGAGAAAAGGGAAAGTGCAATTTAGGTAGGGAGTGCTGTTTGCATGGAAACAGATCATTTGCTTATGTTCACCATGTGGGGGATATTTTTGTAAAGATGGATTAAGGCCAGGTTTGAATTGTGTGAAATTTCAAATATTGGATTAGGAAATATAAATACGAAGTTACTGAAAGCGAGATACTAATCTTTATATAAAAACTTTTTCTTGCCATTTGCAGATTTAACATTTGTAAGTCAATCCAAGTAATGCAGGAGGTTCATGATTGTGTAGAGTATGACACAATTTTGTTTGAGGTTTAAATCTGAATACTTAATGTGTGATAGTGAGCAGCAGCCTAACTGACCACACAGCGTTCATATTTCATGTTATTTTCTCTGATCCTCATGGCTCTTTCTGTGGGTTTGAGGCTTCATTTGGGTAATTTAGTTATTCTTTGCTGCATTTGATTAAGGAAATACGTATATGGGAATTTGGAGATTTGTGACTGACTTCACTATGTGATGCAATGAATCTCAGCTGGAGTTTGGATAGAAATTTTGAAAGCTTTTTTTTTTTTTTCTTGAAACAGAGTCTTGCTCTGTCACCTAGGCTGGAGTGCAGTGGCGTGATCTTGGTTCACTGCAACCTCCGCCTCCTGGGTTCAAGCGATTCTTCTGCCTTAGCCTCCCGAGTAGCTGGGATTGCACACGTGCGCTGCTACGCCTGGCTAATTTTTCGTATTTTTAGTAGAGACGAGATTTCACCATGTTGGCCAGGCTGATCTCGAATTCCTGACCTCATGATCCACCCACCTTGGCCTCCCAAAGTGCTGGGATTACAGGCATGAGCTACTGTGCCTGGATGAAAGCACATTTTTAATACTAATTTTATCTTTCATATTCCTTTTCCAATTCAGTCTTCCTTTTTATCTAAAATGATAAAGAAGTTTACTTTTCTTTTTTTCTTTTTTTTTGAGACATAGTCTTGCTCTGTCGCCTAGGCTGGAGTACAGTAGTGTGACCTCAGCTCACTGCAACCTCTGTCTCCCAGGTTCAAGCGATTCTCCTGAGTCAGCTTCTCAAGTAGCTGGGATTATAGGCATGTACCACCACACCTGGCTCATTTTTGTATTTTTAGTAGAGATGGGGTCCCACCATGTTGGCCGGGCTGGTTTCAAACTCCTGACCTCAAGTGATCTGCCTGCCTCAGCCTTTCAAAGTGCTGGGGCTGGGATTACAGGTGTGAGCCACTGTGCCTGGCCTTTTTTTTTTTTTTTTTTTTTAATGGAAGAGGTCTTGCTGTGTTTCCCAGGATGGAGTATAATGGCAGGATTATAGCCCACTACATTCTCTGAGCTCCTGGGTTCAAACTATCCACCCACTGAAGCTTCCCAAGTAGCTGGAACTAGAGGCACATGCCACCACACCTGACTAATTTTTTTTGAGACGGAGTTTTGCTCTGTTGCTCAGGCCGGAGTGCAGCGCCGCAGTCTTGGCTCACTGCAACCTCCACCGCCTGGGTTCAAGCACTTCTCCTGCCTTAGCCTCCTGAGTAGCTGGGATTACAGACATGCACCACCACACCTGGCTAATTTTTGTATTTTTAGTAGAGACAGGATTTCACCATGGTGGGCAGGCTGGGTTCTGGTTGTTTGTGATCTCTATTTTTTGGTGATCTAGGAACCAAACAACAAGAAATTGTTGTTTCCCGTGGGAAGATCTTGGAGCTGCTTCGCCCAGACCCCAACACTGGCAAAGTACATACCCTACTCACTGTGGAAGTATTCGGTGTTATCCGGTCACTCATGGCCTTTAGGCTGACAGGTGGCACCAAAGACTACATTGTAGTTGGCAGTGACTCCGGTCGAATTGTTATCTTGGAATACCAGCCATCTAAGAATATGTTTGAGAAGATTCACCAAGAAACCTTTGGCAAGAGTGGATGCCGTCGCATCGTTCCTGGCCAGTTCTTAGCTGTGGATCCCAAAGGGCGAGCCGTTATGATTAGTAAGTGATTTACTCTACTTGCTGTGTGTGCTTAATTTAGGATAACAATGCTGTGATCTTGGTGGTGTGCCAGTTCCAGTTAATCACTTACATGGGTTTGGCATCATGTTTGGATTTACTCTAAGTTTAAAGTTGCATTTCCTTTTTAAAAGAGTTGTTTTCTTTTAAAACAATGGGAAAAATCTTAACATACTTTTCTACTTCCCATCTAGTTGGAAATGAGTGTTTTTCAGTTTCTTTGTCTTTGGCAAAAAGACTAAAATGAAATGATCTTATGTTATTAGACAATGAATTTAGTTGCCTTCCTCAGCCTGAAGTGATGATTCACATTCATGTCTCTTCTCTGATAAATTTTTGAAGACAATTTTGTATATCTGATCAGGCCTCTAGAGGGCAGTCGTCTCTGAGTAGTCATAAAATTGTTAGATTTAATTCAGAGAATAAAACTAATGATAATTTTTATGAATTACTGTTTTTCAGTATCCTTAAATCTAGGACTCATTAAAAAATTTTGACGAGTTAGTGGGATATTTAAGATCCATATTAGGAAGGAGGGGGCCACCACGATGCCATTGTCTTTAAAAAAAAATTATTTATTTTTAGGAGATGGATGTCTCAGCCGGACACAGTGGCCATTTATTTTTAAAAGAGATGGGGGTCTCACCCTGGTGCGGTGACTCATGTCTGTAATTTCAGCACTTTGGGAAGCCAGGGCGGGAGAATCACCTGAGGTCAGGAGTTGGAGACCAGCCTGGCCAACATGGTGAAACCCTGCCTCTACTAAAAATACGAAATTAGCTGGGTGTGGTGGCGCGTGCCTGTAATCCCAGCTACTTGGGAAGCTAAGGCAGGAGAATCGGTTGAACCTGGGAGGCAAAGGTTGCAATGAGCCGAGATAGCGGTACTGCACTCCAGCCTGGACAACAGAGTGAGACTGCATCTAAAAAACAAAAAGAGATGGGGAATTCACTATGCTGCCCAGGCTGGTCTTGAATTCCTGCGCTCAAGCAATCCTTCTGCCTTGGCCTCCCAAAGTGCTAGAATTACAGGCCTGAGCCACTGTGCCCAGCTCCATTATTGCTATTCTTTTTTTTTTTTAATGAGACAGAGTTTCGCTCTTGTTGCCCAGGCTGGAGTGCAGTGGTGCGATCTCAGCTCGCTGCAACCTCTACCTCTCGGATTCAAGCGATTCTCCTGCCCCAGTCTCCCAGGTAGTTAGGATTAGAGGCATGTGCCACCACACCTGGCTAATTTTTTGTATTTAGTAGAGATGAGGTTTTACTATGTTAGTCAGGCTGGTCTTGAACTTGTGACCTCAGGTGATCCACCCGCCTCAGTCTCCCAAAGTGCTATTCTGATGATAGAAAACAGAATGCTGAGTTGTTATAGTTGTAGAGTTACTGCTGTTAATAATGATTAAAAGAAAAGCATGATGTGACTCTGGTTTTGTAAGTGTCTCTTCTCATCTGGGAATCTTGTATGTTTTATCTCCTTCAACTACAGGTGCCATTGAGAAACAGAAATTGGTGTATATTTTGAACAGAGATGCTGCAGCCCGACTTACCATTTCATCTCCCCTGGAAGCCCACAAAGCAAATACTTTAGTGTATCATGTAGTTGGAGTAGATGTTGGATTTGAAAATCCAATGTTTGCTTGTCTGGAAATGGATTATGAGGTAATGGGGACCCCGTCTCTTTGCATTTCTTTCAGTCACTTCGTTATTTTTTTAAAGATTGTTTTCTTCCTTGTGCATATGTGTGTGTTTTTTTTTTTTTTTTTGGGGACAGAGTCTTGCTCTGTTGCCCAGGCTGGAGTGCAGTGGCACAGTCTCAGCTCACTGCAACTTCTGCCTCCCGGGTTCAAGTAATTCTCCTGCCTCAGCCTCCTGAGTAGCTGGGACTACAGGCACTGCCACCATGCCCAGCTAATTTTTGTGTTTTTAGTAGAGATGGGGTTTCGCCATGTTGGCCAGGCTGGTCTCCTGACCCCAGGTGATTGGCCCACCTCACCCTCCCAGACTGCTGGGATTATAGGCCTGAGCCACCTCGCCCAGCCCCTTGTTCATGTCTTAATTCTGTCCTGCTAGCACATCTTCTCCATATTCCAAATGCCTTACTGAAATTCTTTGGGATGCTTCAGAGGTTAACCAAGTATTTAATAGTCTTTCTCTGATTTAAGTAATCTCTATGGAAACGAGATGTTTATTGGGAAAAGCTTCATGAAAAATGTGAAGCTGTGTTTAAGGTATTTTTTCACAGAGCATACTATTCTTTGCCTTGAATGGAAGGCAGTGTTCTCTAGTAGAGAGATCCCTGGATCCAGAATTTGGAGATTGCAGTTCTCATTCTAGGTCTGCCATTATCTTGTAGCATAAACTTTGTCAAACTATTTGGCATCAGCCAGGTATGGTAGCATGTGCCTGTAGTCCTAGCCGCTTGGGAGCCTGAGGCCCAGGAATTCTAGGCTGCAGCGAGATAAGATTTTACCACTGTGGTCAGGTGCAATGGCTCATGCCTGTAATCCAGGCACTTTGGGAGGCCGAAGCGGGCGGATCACCTGAGGTCAGGAGTTTGAGACTAGCCTGGCCAACATGGAGAAACCCCATCTCTACTAAAAATACAAAATTAGCCAGGTGTGGTGGCTCATGTTTGTAATCCCAGCAACTCAGGCGGCTGAGGCAGGAGAATCGCTTGAACCCGGGAGGCAGAGGTTGCGGTGAGCTGAGATCGTGCCATTGCACTCCAGCCTGGGCAACAAGAGCGAAACTCCATCTCAAAAAAAAAGAAAAGATTATACCACAGGGGGAGGGGGGAGGGATTGCATTGGGAGTTATACCTGACGTAAATGACGAGTTGATGGGTGCTGACGAGTTGATGGGTGCAGCATATCAACATGGCACAAGTATACATATGTAACAAACCTGCACGTTATGCACACGTACCCTAGAACTTAAAGTATAATTAAAAAGAAAAAAGATTATACCACTGCGCACTGCAGGCTGGGTGACAGAGTGAGAACCTGTCTCTCAAAACAAAAAATAAAATTGACGTTTGTGGACTTCTGTTTTCTCATTTGTAAATTGGAGTCCTGATGTACTTTCCAGATCTTCGATTTTATGCTGCTGATTAGTTTTTATGCCACTGTTCTCTGTAGGAAGCAGACAATGATCCGACAGGGGAAGCAGCAGCTAATACCCAGCAGACACTTACTTTCTATGAGCTAGACCTTGGTTTAAATCATGTGGTCCGAAAATACAGTGAACCTTTGGAGGAACACGGCAACTTCCTTATTACAGGTACTTTTCTTTCAGAGCTGCTTTGTATACCCTTTTACTTGGTTCATTTTATGCCCAAACCTAATAGGTTTTACTTAAAGGGTTTGGGAATTAATCCATTTGTCGTGAACCTGAATACCTTGTCTATCTTTTGGACAGGTTAGAAGTTCATGTGGTGGAGTGATTTTAAAAAGTGTTGGGGATAAAGAGTGTTTAGCTCCTTAATAACTCATTTCCTACTGAGGGCAGGGAAGAGAAGTTGAAGGGAGCAGTCAGCTTGGAATATTCATTACTGTTAGTTGTTGTGACAGTTTGACTGTAGTCAGTTTTTCCCCCTCTTTCAAACCTAGCTCTTTGAAAAGCCAAATGAAATGGACAAACCCAACAAGATAAAACTTGTGAATATGAAAACTTAAACAAAATGGAAATATTTTTGAAGATGATTACCAGATTGATCCAAAAATAAATTAAGAACCTCAATAGACCAGCATTAGAGAAATTGAAGCAGTAGTCCAAAGTCACTCCCAGAAGATTGAGGTCCAGGATTTTCAGGAAAGCTTTTATTTTCTTGTTGAGGGATATATATGTATTCTGTTTTAAAATAAGTTTCTTGGCTGGGCGCAGTGGCTCATCACCTGTAACCCTAGCACTTTAGGAGGCTGAGGCAGGAGGATCACTTGGTCTCAGGAGTTTGAGACCATCCTGGGAAACAAGGTGAGACCTTGTCTCAATGAAAAAATAAATATTAAAAAAAAAAAAGTAAAACAGATTTCTCCAGAGTAGAAAAAGAGTAAATGCTACTGTACCACTCTGTGAGTCTAGTATGACTACAATATCAAAACTGGATGGACAGTAACAAAAAAAATTTGCAGGCTGGTTCATATGGTTGTAGATAGGAAAAGCTAACATTCCAACAAATCGGATTCAGTGTTTTAAATGCACATAGCTAAGTAACGTTTTGGAGGAGCTAAAAGATGGAAAACACTTTCACAGTTGGAAATCAGTTCATAGTTGGAAATCAGTTCACCATTGGGAAATCCACATTACTAATTCATTATATTAAAAGACTAAAGGAGTGCAGCTATATTTGTGGTCGTCTGCATTTCAGCAGGCTTGGGGAAAACTGATCTGTTCTATTTTGAATCATTTGCACTTGAATTGATGTCTAAAATAAGATGTGTGGGGAAGATATTGGAGAATAAAAATAAAGGACAGCACTTTGAGTATTAATCTTAGAGATTGTTAATACGTTAAGCAGATGACTTACGGAAAGTGGATTACACATCTCATTACTTGTAACATATTACCATACCTTTCGTTCACAAGGGCTTTTTCATTCTTTCAACACATTTTTATTGAGCCTGTGCAATCAGTATGTGCTAAGTCCATCTGCTGGATCTTGGGACTTCAGTGGTGAAAAATTAGATGTGGTGCCGCCTTTATGCAAGATTGAGTCTAGTGGTGAATACAGATTAATAACCAATTACCAGAAACTGTGCCAAATGCCATGATAGCACAGAGAAGTTCCCTAAACAGGAGGGAAAGGAAAGGAATGTGTTACAGAAAGCTTGCTGGAGTCTCTAAGCTGAAACCTGAGGGCTAGTTAGGAGTTAACTAGGTGCAGTTGGAGTGGGAGAGGAAGTTTCAGTTGTAAGCAAAGGAAACAGCATTTACAAAAGCCTAAATACAAGAAATAACGTGGTTCATTCATAATTAAATAATTAAAATAATTAAAAGCTTATTATGATTTAATTAAGGGACTGGGATAGGAGTAGGGTTGGGGTGAAAGCTACTGAAGGATTCTAAGTAGGGAAATAATCTGATAGATTGACAGCCTACGATTAATTGCTTATACTTTGGCTATGACAACCTTAGATTAATTGCTTATACTTTGGCTAATGAAATGGATAATATTAAGACTGAAGGCAGGAGACTGATCAGGACATTAAACTAAGAGATACTGGTAGCTGCCAAGGAGGTAGAATCAATAGGGCTGTGGGAGGAGAGAGAATTGAAGGATTATATTCAGGTGTCTGGTTTGGTCTGTTAGTTGATGGTAGTATTCTCTAAGGTGGAGAATCTAGGAGGTGCAGCAGGGTTGGGAAGGAACC